TGCCTTGAAAGGCTCTTTAGTCAGATTCAGGCTTGGTAGGTTTAATGACCATCCATCACCTAGTGAATTTATACGCGCTTAAACATTAATACTCGCTAATAAGCTGCCAATTTATCTTCAAAGTATGCATGACTAAAGAAAGCAGAAATTTGATTCATATTTACATCCGATACTTGAAGGGCTTTGAAACTGAGGAGGAAATGCTTCCATTAAACTATTGATGATTTGGATTGGATTTCATAGAGGAACCTTCTCCTATGGCATGGAATTAGATTGAATTCCGACGACAATTTCGACAGCCGAAAAAAAGCATAACATGTTTGCAGTTTATATTGCCTATCGTGTGCGAGACAAAGACCCATCATTGGAACAATATCTAAAATAGTGCTGATGAACCAATATTTAATTCAGAATGGATAAAATTATGTCTTAGGAGGTTTGACTACCCCTTCTCATTCATGGATAATACAGTTTATGAGTTTCGAAAACGTATTTTGTGCATTTCATGGTACAACTTACATAAAGGGAAGCATGTAATTGGCTCTTTCTTATAAACTGAGATATTATCCTGAGTTACAGAGAAGCAATTCGTTTATTTTGCAGAATGAGAACTTTTATTAGAATACGTTTCTTAATAGAAATGCATATGTTTTTTTCCCAAAGAAACACCCAAGGGCAAAAAAATGGATTGCTTCGAATGTGCAGCCAATAAATAATGTTTCAACACTTGTAGTGCATTGCGACTGTACAAGTACGCATATACAATATGTTTTGATTTGAAATATTCTAGATGCATTTTAGAAGTTAATAGCGTAAAGCATATTTCAAATGAGAACTAATTCTTTAAGTTATTGTTACATTATTTTTATGTATCCTCTGTTATTATTGATTCGATTTTTGTGTTAGCTTGGCATTCTAGATAAAATATAAGTATGATATTAAAGTAATTGGCATAAAAGACCTGCCCCCTAACCCCCACTTTTGAAAATTAAATAATTATTTTGGTACGTGAGTAAAGTTCTTTTGTCTAATTAAGATAAGAACTTACATGTATTTATTTAAATGAAATATTGATGTAAGCTAATTTACAAAATTATTTTTAAAAAAAATATGCTATTATATTGATCGGGATAAATATGCCAATGTAAAATTTACATTAGGCTAAACTCCAGACTTAGGCAGAAAATTTTGCCATATATAACCATACATGTTTAAAACTATGCCAATTTAAGGTTGTTTTTTTGATTAATTTTAAATAGCTGTTATTATAGTTATCTTAGAACAGTACAGTTCTCTTAGTTAACATGCAGATAAAAAAAAAAGATTAGAAATAAGCAAGCATTAAAAGGAAAAAAAAATCTCTGCAAATTAAAAAAAGGATTTTTACGCTAAGAGTAGCGCATTTTATCTGTTATTTTTAAATTGAGTTAGTACTATTAAATCTTTTAATGTTCAGTGTAAAATGTATACTGCAGTAACATTGTCTCTTCTAAATTATAGCCATCTTTCACACACAGCTCATTTTAAAACGCTGTTCTTCAAATTTTAACGCTAATGTCTATTTGTCATTCATCTCCGCGCTCGGTGGCATCATTGCTACGTCATCACTCCTCACTGCATGTTTCACGGGGAAACGCTCTATGAGCTAGCCCTTCTCTTTAGTCCTGGATATTCCGTTCTCTTTGAGCACCTCTGATATGATTTGAGCTGCTTGTGAGCCGGACCAACTTCTCTAAAAACTAACATGAAACTGTTCACCATGCTACAGGAGGTACAGTGCAAAGTATATGAAGGTACTTACAGAAATTTACTAGAACATTTTTCTCGAAAGATATAGGTTGTGAAAGCGGTCAAAAGCGGATCTATATTTACGAAGACTATCATGTTTTCGAAGCAGGAAGTCAGGTGACATCAGCAATCCTCTCTCCGGAATACGAACAATGGACTCTCCAAACCCTATTTGGAAGTGCTAATAACAAACACTTCTAGACCATGCTCATGGAAATGCGATAATTCGTTATGCTACTATACTCCGGCACTACACTATTGATCGAAACTTAAGCAACAAATCCATTTTTCAACATTCAGCCATAAGTTATTGAAAAGGGCTCTTCGCTATCAGTACAGTGAAACGCCAGATCAGTAGAAAGGTGATCCATACGCAAATATCAGCATCATGATATCAGAATGTGTGTCGGAGACTTCAAAACACGAGGAGTCAGTGGGGGCAGTTCAAGGCAAACTAGAAAGAATGAAGAAACGCGAATTTCCAGGCATTCTTCTGAAAATTGAAAGTGAGATTGCACTTGCACGATGGCTACAAGAAAATTTCAAGACGCCTTTACATGTGGTAGAGTAATTGCCAAGCTTGAGGAGGGGCGTAGCTTGACGTAGCACAAGTGTTTGCAACTGATAAAAGTGTTACGTCGTGAATTAGAAAAAGCCTTTCAAAAGACAGTTAAATCTGCAAAAAAGGTTGCTTGTGGTTCGATAAGGCCCATATCACACGGCGTTTGTTTCACACGAACAACTGTTTCGGACAATTTCTCTGCCTGGTTTAGTATTGAAAGAAAGATGTGCGTTTTTTTCCTGCCTTTCCAAAAATATTGCAAGTTGTTCGTTTTCAATCAATCAGCTTATCAGGCTTCGAATGCTGTTAGCTTGTTCGTAATGGACGAACCAGTTTCCCCTGTGTTACCCCAAGGTGATCTGTGGTGATTGGCTGTTGTGACAAAGCAGAAGAATTGTTCCAAACAGTTGTTCTTCCGAAACAAAACGACGTATGATAGCAGCCTAAGATAAACAACGGAAATTTATGACCGATATATCGCCCATTAGGCGAAAAAATATCGAAACCAGGCAACGGGAAACATTGCTCAGAAGTTGCATGTGGCAACCAGACAACGTGTTCCGGTTTACTGTAGGCAGGCGGCATCGCATATCTGGCCCGTTTGCCCGCCGTCCTGAATGCTGCATATCACTGACAACAGCCCATCGGCGGCACTGTCCACAGTTGTGTAGAGAATACGAACATCTTATCAATGGAGTCACGTCCCCTTTACCGATGAAAATTGGTTTAGTCTGACAAACGATTCTCGGGACCAGTTGATATGCAGGGAGAGGTAGGAATACTCTTTTATTCCAATAATATCAGACAAACACACCGCTGGGGTGGCCCTTGCATGCTTGTATGGAGGAGCATTACGATGAACGGACGGATAGAATTCCACGTTTCAGTAAGAAGCTCACTTACCGAAGATCGTTACTGTGAAGCCATCCTTCCCAATGTGCATCTTTCCCGGATTCCATTGATCTCGACTTTGTTTTTATGGATTAAAATGCACGGCCACTCAGGACTCATGACGTTGAGTAGCTCCTGGAAAGTGAAGATATCTACATAATGGATTGACCAGCATGCTCCCTTGATTAAAATCTCGTTGAATAAATGCGGGATACTTTAAGGAGACTGCTGATGACACGATCTTACCCTCCAGAGGACTCCAGATAATTTGAAGAACGAGGACTCTTACCGCAAGAACTGCTAGATAACCTGCTGTTAAATATCCACGGATGGTGCAACGCAACCATTGCAGTTAGGGGAGGTCATATTCTTTTATATACAAAGGCTTTTGTTTTCTCCCTCTTGGCCAGACAGTTTGTTTCAACGCCATTCTGTCAATAAAACCTTTTTCTATTCGTTCCGTACTGCATGAGTCCTATTATATTTTTTACTACTATACTTTTCTCATCTTATAAGTGCTACAATGTGTCTATACAAAATGAATTTTATGTCTCCGGGTTGATTTTTTTGCAGAATTACTGCCAAAATCAGAAAAGTTTCTTAATTTTTTCCCACTAGTGTATTTAGTCTTAGGATTAATATAATCCTCATGATTGGTAACATAGCGGATATGTCTGGGTGAATGCATATAACTTCTTTTTTCTTTCTGTTCAGATATAAATATTGCGGACACTTGTGCATCAGTTGTCTATATCTTGATGTTTTCATTGGTTTCCTTTGTCAAGGGCACATTTATGCACATACATGCTTCTTTTGCCAATATTTATATATTGCCGTTATAAATATTTCCGTTACAAACATTTCTTCTGTCTTTTGTACACATATTGCATGACAAAATCTATTTATTTCGGTTTCTTTTACGTCGTTACATTTTTTTAAGTATTTTTACTAGATATTTTATAAGCACCCTATATACATATAACCAAATATAAAATAGAATGAATTGAATATTTACATATAGTATATATATTATATATACAAATTAAGAATCTAATCATAATATAATATAATAATTAATATAATAATTTATACAAGTAATTATGATATCAGATAGTCGTAAAGTATCATTTGTTCATTGAATAACCATTTCACAGAATTTGAAACTTGAATTTCATTACCAAATGTGCTGTCTTGAACTTACAAAAAACAATAGAATTTTTTTTGTATGTGTTTATATAGATGCAAACGTAAAGAGATAAATGGAATAAATTTAAATAAAGCATACAATTTGCCTCTGTAAGGAAATGCCTCTGTAACAAATGTGAACGGAAACATCTTAATTTCTGAGAATAATGTCAAAACATTTAAACCCATTTACGTGGAAGCGTAAAGCTGGGTTTTCTTTGAAATGTTTCTTTGCCTGGTGTTCTTTTTACAATAAGCACCTTTCCAGTAATATAAGGTAGAGCTTAAAATTTGAAATCTTTCCTTTTGAGCTGAAAATTCAAGTCTCAGAATAAATCTGACGTTTATTATTCTATCAAATAAAAATAAAAATAGAATTATTGATTTTTCTTTACTGTTTCATTGAATTACTCTTAACTTTTAAAATATGGTTTAAGTTTTCCAGCATCACCTCAGTTAGGACAGTACGGTTGTTTTCCCTATATTTGAGTTGAAAAATAAGCTTAGAATTCTACTTGCTCTTAAATTTTATTTATCAATATTATGTTAAACTCTTGTTCCAAAATCTTTGCAGCTTTGGATAGAAAATCCCAGTCCTTGGCAGGTGTTTTGAATAGCGGAGCAGACAGCGATTCTTCTGAAACGGTGGCTAGTTCGTCAGATGCTGGTACCAGTGCATCTAGTGCTCCTCCATCTCCGAAAGCAAATCCTCCGTTCAAGTCTAAAATCAAAAGACCCTGGATACAGCACCTCGAAGAAAATAAGAAACAATGGAAAGAAAGAATTCATAAGGGTGAGATTACTAATAATATTCTTCTGTATTAGTATTTATGATAATACATATCTAATAATGAACTTCATAAAAATGAAGTTTACCTAATAATGTTCAGTGATTAAGTTCTGTCTCACTTTCTTTTTTACAGATTATGTTTAAAGATTCCTTCTAACATATGCTTGAAGTTTTAAAAAGCAAATTTAGAAATGTTTGCTCTTCACTTGCTTAATGCATTTATATATATATATATGATAAAAATATGTAAAGTACTGACTTTAATTTGCAATACTTCCTTAACTCTCCATTTTAATTTGGTTATTTCCCTTTTCATCTTAAAAATTGTTACTGCTTATAATAAATCTCTATAAATTTAACGATTTAAAAATTTATCCAAGTCATATAATTCTTGAATAATGCTAATTACCAAGATATTTACATAAGGTTTTAGCAAATAATGATTTCATACTTGAAAATTGAAACTTTTAATACCCAATGGTGATAAAATGTGAGCTTAAACTAACTCACACTGAACCCAAATTATATCTTGAACATGCCGCTTTCCCTCTCAATTTCTTTGTCAAGCTAGATTCTTTTCTTCTTTTCTTACTGCAACATCTTCAAAAATGAAAAACGTTCTTCAAGAACAGACACGCTTGCTACGCAACTTGTGTAGTAAGTCTGTGTTGGCTTAAAAATGTCTGTCAGTGAGAATAAAGTAACATTAAAATCGGCTGTATTGTTGTTACGTCTCTGTACATCGGATGTCATCGATTACAACTATACTATCAGTAGCTGTCTTCAATATACTAATTATTATTATTATTATTATTATTTCAGATATATATGTATAAGCTAAATTTTGAGTTTTTGTTGCTTGTTTCTTCGAGTATCTTTGAGTGTGTTAGTGCGTTGAATGTGTGCTGAACCTTGAATGTGTTGGAATGTGTGAGTTGCACTATAGGTGGATCCGACAAAAAGCGCATAAGTTGGATTCGCGTGACTTTGCATATAAGTGCATGCAGATTTCATTTAAATAAGTCCAAAAACTAAAAAAACATAGAAAAGAAAGAAGCATATACGTAATAAATCATGTAGTTTTCATACATATCAATACAAAATAGGATTAAAATAAATATGCTACCTAAAAGTGGAGGTATTTCGCTGCCAATAGTTCACAATATTTCAGAAACAGCTCAATTTATAATTAAAAGCAGAATTAAGAAAGAAATAAAGACTATCAAGCTCTTTTTTTTTAACCACAGCGTAAAACAGTGACTGCACTTTGCGTACAAAAACGTTGTACAATAGTATTGCCTGTGAACCTAATTATAACTGAACTACAGGTTTTGGAAAGGGATATGGAGTTTTAGCATTTAGAATAAATTATTTTGCTTTAATGCATATAAATATATAATATATATATATGTTTTTCTAAAATAAATATATAAATTATATATAAATAATATAATATAAATATAGATATAGATATGTATGATTTTTAAATCAATTGATTAAATTAAATTCTAATCATATTCTTTAATAATGTGTTGGCGATTCTCTATCTAAATTGCATCCCTGTTCCAAAACTTTGGCGAAAGCCTTTCTTTATTATAAATTATATTAACCTGTTGGCGCCCGCCAAATCGCCAAACTCATAAATCTGTCATATTACATAAAGTCCTTAAGAACACTCGTGATGAGAAGATAGCGTCACTTCGTGATTTCATTTAATATCGCTGATTGGATGAACACCATGACGCACACATATCTATAAATAGGGCTTCTCCTCAAGGTATAAGAGAAACGCTTGTGAGATGGATGCTAAAATAAACGTATGACTTTATATTCCAAAATTTGTCTCATTCCTGTTGCCCCGGCTGCACAAGACAAATAATGTATGAGAAAAATACATTTCATATATATTTTTTTTTCTAAAGCTAGTTCTAATACATAGACAGAATAATGTTTACTCAACCTGCATTTTCTAAATTACTGACAGTTTCAAATGCAAATTTTAGTAAGTAATAATTATAACGAGCAGAAATGTATAAAGTAAAATAAAAAGCCGCGTAACTTAAAGTTAGAGTAAGTCGAAGTATTACGTTGCTAGAAAATATGTCTCATTTCTAAGCTAATATCAGTTATTCTTTTATAAAAAAAACAACAAATCTTATTGAAGATGAATGAAAATGCTGCAGGAAACTTAATAATTGTATAATTATAATCATTTATTACGATTATTACATAACCTTTATAGATAATTTTCCAATACTCGTGAATTATATTTTTCTCAATATTTATGCATTCATTTTCATTATTCTAAAGATGAGGAAAATTACCGTTCTAGAAATAGGAAACTGGAAACTTATCGTTAAAACACCAAAACGTAAAAAATATGCTTCAGTGAATTTCAATGAATAGCATTTTCCGTGAGTAGTATTTTCATATTTTATGATATTCGAATTTATTTACCAGAAATAATATTTTTAATGTAACTTCTAATTTTTAAATATTTCTTGGGAAACAATAGCGTACTAGAATGTCGAGATAACGACGGCAAATAAAATTTCTCTATCTATTCAAGATTCACGATATTATTAAGGGCACCATACCTCTTTAGCTATACAAGTATTTAATTGTAATAATATTATTAAATGCGATTATTGTTAAAATTTTTAACATCCGTTTAAAATCAGCTTTGGCTTTATTAAAAATGTACGTAAGTATAATTTCGCTATTATTTACGTATACTCAGTTTTTCTATTTCAGAAAAGAAAGAAATAGAGGGTCTCATATAATAATAAAGCTGACAAAAACCCTTTTTGCTGAATGAGACTAAAAGCAGCACTAAAAATAGAACTATGAAAAGGAATATTATTGATAATAAATATCAATATATAGTGCTCAGGGTTTCTTTTTTTTTTTTAATCGCTCTCAACGATACGAATAGTAAATATTTTAATAAAATGAAGATATAAAATAATTAAAATTATATTAAACACAGAAATGCATATTATCCCATTTTATAATCCAGTCATTGGACTAAAATATGTAATTTGTATCTTCTTCCGTTGGGTTTCAATTTCCATCACTTTAAGAAAGGAAAATTTGTTCTTATATTAATATCCACGTTTATTTCTTTTTTTTTTCATATATAGAAGTTAAAAACCGTTTTCCTTTACAGATCCTTAGGTTTAAAATCTATCTTTTATGTTAATAATATATTTTTTATATTTTTACTTTATATTCTTATTCAAAAAATCTTTATAGTATACCATTGTAAAGAGGATAATTTTATTGAACAAGAAAATGCTTGGATAAAAAATTTTAAACCTTTATGGTAACGTTATATTAATTTTCTAACTAATCTGTAAGCTAGTCCCATCTGGCCTTCTCATTCAAATACGAAGCAGTCACTTCAGAAGTTACGCAAAACAGTTGAAATAGTTGAATAGAAAGACAGACATTGTCAAACAATAATTACTTAACTGTCATCTTATACATTACAAGAATAGATTCAAGAATTATATGATAGCGTATCTGTGTAACAAAGAGATTTCGCCATTCGAGGGTCGAAAGGAGCTACTATGTAAAAAGGGCTTGTCTGCGTTCCTAAGTGGTATTGGTTGGCTGGATAGTACTACAAATTCCAGCATTCAGTATTCTGTATTTTTAGATAAAAATACTTATTTATTGGTTGCAGTACTGCCAAGATTGTTCTACCATGGTCTTTTGTTATCGTTACCGTAGTAGCTTTTTATAATGATATTTGACTTAATAATGATATTTATCATTTTTTTGCATTTTTAATTAAATTGCAATTTTTATATACCATTAGACATCGACGTTAGAGTCTGATATGTTATACGTTAAAGTTGCTCTATGCACAATGTTCTTCAGCTGCAGAAATGTGCTTTGTAAACTGTTAAGAAAAGTTTCTAAAGTTTATTTTGCAGATGCCGAACTACGTGCTCAATTACGTGCTCCGAGACCCAATAAGACAATCAAGTCCCTAAAAGATTGCGTCTGAATCTAAAATGCTGCGCCAGGAAAGCAAAGCAATACACGTATTCGTCTCTTGTTTACTCTGAAGCACACACAGTCACAAGTGTCTTTAAAATACTTTCGCTGTGCTGCATCAAAGCACTCACTGAGCCCGCAATGAAGCGATCTTTATTATTGCAGTAGTTCATACCGGACAAACAAATTCAAATTAGAGACAGAAGTCAATAGCAAAAACAAAATACTATAGTCTTCAATGAACGTCTATGTATGCAGGGTCAGTACTGGATTTTTCCTTACATATTTTTTTCTTTTTTTCCAACTTTTTTCTTGGCTGAACTGTGCTTTGCCGTGGTACAAACTCTTTAAAGCTGGACCATTTTATCTCTGTATGATCTGTCCACGTAGTTTATTTCAAATGGCATTTTAGTTTTTAGCATATCTGTGATGTAATGCACTATCTAGAAGAATTCCGATTTTTATAAAACTATGCATTACTAATTTGACAAATATCATTCTCTGCACAAAGTACAGAATTAATTGGATAATGGCATATCTTTCCTGCATACGACAAGTATTTCTAAATATGATGCGATCTATTCATAAAGGTTTATTACAATGAGATTCTCAGTGGCTGCATTAAAGCATACTGCTTTGAAAATTAAAACTTCATTCAATATAAAACATTTCTATCCTTTTTACTCACATATTTTTAAAATACCATGTAAAAATGTGAACGTAACCTTCTAATTTTTGTAATTGTATGCACATCTTCATCCTGTTGTGCTGCACAACTCAAGCGATGCCCATTCAGTGTTTTTTTTTTATTTTTTTAATATTATGAAAATAACGACCCTGAACTATTAGTTACTATTTTCATTCCGAGTTTAAAGGTCATAATTTTCATCTTGCATCATTATCTATCATGTCACTTCGATATGAAATTCAAAGCGTGTTCGTTTCTCATAACTATGTAGCATGCTTGACTGGAGTAGGGCAACAGCATAAAAGACTCTTTTTACACGTTAATAAATATATATTGTATTAAATGAAATTAAAATAATTTAAAATTCTATTAAACACAGAAATGCATATTATCCCATTTTATACTCCAGTCATTGGACTAAAATAGTAATTTGTTTTCTCCGTTGGGTTTCAATTTCCATCACTTTAAGAATGGAAAATTTGTTTTTATATTAAATACCACGTTATTTCTTTTTTTTCATATAAAGCAGTTAAAAAACGTTTTCCTTTACAGATCCTTAGGTTTCGAAATCATCTTTTTATGTTAATATATATTTTTACTTTTATATTCTTATTCAAAAAATCTTTATAGTATACCATTGCTAAAGAGGAATATATTTTATTGAACAAGAAAAATGCTTGGATAAAAAATTTTAAAACCTTTATGGTAACGTTTATATTAATTTTCTAACTAATCTGTAAGCTTAGTTCCCATCTGGCCTTCTCATTTCAAAATACAGAAGCAGTCACTTCAGAACGTTACGCAAAACAGTTGAAATAGTTGAATAGAAAGACAGACATTGTCAAACAGATAATTACTTAACTGTCATCTTATACATTACAAGAATAGATTCAAGAATTATATGAATAGCGTATCTGTGTAACAAAGAGATTTCAGCCATTCTAGGTCGAAAGGAGCTAGCTATGTAAAAAGGGCTTGTCTGCGTTCCTAAGTGCGTATTGGTTGGCTGGATAGTACTTACAAATTCCAGCATATTCAGTATTCTGTATTTTAGATTAAAAAATACTTATTGTATTTGGTTGCAGTACTGCCAAGATTAGTTCTACCATTTGTCTTCTTTATGTTTATCAGTTACACGTAGTAGCTTTTAATAAATGATATTTGACTTAATAAATGATATTTATCATTTTTTTGCATTTTTTAATTAAATTGACAAATATTTATTATAGCCATTAGACAGTTTGGCTGTTAGAAGTCTGATATGGTTAATACGTTAGAAGTTGCTCTTATTCAACAATTGTTCTTTCAGCTGCAGGAAATGTGCTTTGTAACAATGTTGAAGAAACAAGTTTCTAACAGTTTAATTTTTCAGATGCCGAACTACGTGCTCAACTATCCGTTGCTCCCGAAGACCCAGATGTAGACAAATCGAAGTCACCTAAGAAGATATTCGTCTGAAATCTACAAATGCTCTGCAGACCAGTGAAAGCAAAGCAATACACGTCTACTTCTTCTCTTTGTTTACTCTGAAGCAACGACACAGTCACAAGTGGTCTTTAAATTACTATTCCGCTTGTGCTGCATCAAATCAATCACTGAGAACGCAAATGAAGCGAATCTTTATATATTGCAAAGTATGTTCATACTCGGACAAAAAAATTCAAACTTAGAGACAGAAATGTACAATAGCAACAAAAAATACTATATGTCTTCAATGAACGTCCTATGTATGCAGGCGTCAGTAACTGGATTTTTCATTACATATTTTTTTTTTCTTTTTTCCAACTTTTTTCTTGGCTGTACTGTGCTTTGCCGTGGTAACAAACTCTTTTAAAAGCTGGACCATTTTATCTCTGTTATGAATCTGTTCCACGTAGTTTAATGTTCAAATGGCTATTTTAAGTTTTTAGCATATCTTGTGAATGTAAATGCACTATCTAGAAGAATTCCGATATTTTTATAAAACCTGATGCATTACTAATATCTGACAAAATATCATTCTTCTTGCACAAAGTAACAAGAATTTAATTTGTGATAATGGCATATCTTTCTCCTGCCAGTCAAGACAAAGTATTCTAAAATATGATGGCCGAGCTTATTCATACAAGGTTTATTACAAATTAGATTCTCAGTGGCTTCAGTTAAAGCAGTATCTGCTTTTGAAAATTTAAAACTTCATCTAACAATATAAAAACATTTCTTATCCTTTTAATCACATATTTTTAAAAATACCATTTAAAAATGTGCAACGTAAGCCTCTGCTAATTTTTTTAATTATATGCACTATCTGTGTATCCCTGTTGTGCTGCACAACTTCAAGCTAATGCACATTCCAGTGTTTTTTTTTTTTTTTTTTTTTTTTTTTTTTTTTTTAATATTCATGACAAATAACGAACCCCGAAACATTATTAGTTACTATTTTCATTCCAGAAGCTTTAAAGTGTCATAAATTTTCATCTGTGCATCATGTAGCTCGTATTCATGTCACTTCGATATGAAATTCAAAGCGCTGTTCGTTTCTCATAACTATGTAGCAATGCTTGACTGGAGTAGGGCAAACAGCATAAAATACTCTTTTATACGACGTTTAATAAATATATATTGTATTTTCACGGCACAATTTCTTAGTATAATTTTTATCGTAATTTCGAATTTAAAAACTATGCTAAAGAAATTGTGATACATTACGTGCAGAAAATGTCATTGTAGAGTGATAAGTAATAATGCATATTAGCTGTTTGACTGCACGTGTTTTCTCACGTTCATACCTTACGCTTTTATTTATATTTTCCATGCCTTTTAACTACAGCATTTAACAAACATTAGTAAATTTTCTGGCCTGTGTGGCATGCAACGAGTAATTTTCGATTAATCTTCACCAGTTTTGTTTATCCCTATTAAAATTCAGATCATCTATTTTGCCTAGATGTATATGACAACAAACGCCAGATCACTTTATGTGGGAAAGTTTTGTTGTGAGTGACAAATTGGCTTATTCGATGTTTTAAAGACCAACAGCATAAATATTCATCTTAAATAATGTTTAAAATTCTGCACTCGTTTAGTATTAATATATATGGCTCAGAATGTTCTTAAAGTGTATGTAAATAAAATGTGCTTATACCCTCTGATTACATTGAACGTTAATCTACATATAAATTTATTTATTTATAAATAATTTCAATTTAAATCTCTTTTCTTTAGACTATGGAATCTCCTTTTTTATAATTACAGATGTTGCTTTATACGATTAGTATTTTGAATTACATTAATATGTCAATAAATATTTATTATAGCAAATAAAATTAAAAGTGGTATAATCCGTTTAGTTGTTGTTTTACTTTTTATTGAAAATGCAATGGATAAAGATCAGTGATTGAATAACATTTAGAATTAAACGAAACTTATACGAGCTAACAAGTGGAAACAATAGAGATAAATGATTCTTAATCAAAAGCGTGCACAAGAAAATTAATCTATATGAATAAAAGGAAATAGCAATACAACAAGAAAAAACACATTTGGCAATCGAAATAGGTACTTACGTTACGTTACGTACATACATTAAATAGGTACTTCCATCGAAATGTGAAGGTTAAAATCTAACCATGAAAGGTGGCGAAAATCTCGCCAAAATTGCGATTGATCCCATCGAATTTTGAGCTGCACTTCTTATTATATCTGCAATTCTTACAATAAAATATTTATCAGTCCCTACACAATCTACCAAATAGCAGCTGCTGCAAAAGTATTCGATTAACTTCATTTTTGTGCTTCGTAAAAATTTCATTGTTTTCTACTATTTCGTTAGACCCTCGGATTTTACCCGAAGCCTGTTTAGAACGCTATGAGTACGTACTTCCTGCAGTTAATTGTTCCAATTTATTGCTGTTTTGTCGGCCATATCCAACTGTTCTTTTCCAATTCAACCGATGTTAGTTCTCTCTACCAGCTGTATGTGAACCAGAGTGCACTCACAAATGTGATTTTATGCTCAAATTCATTTGTGCAAGAAAAAATGCCGCAATAACTGTTATTTTATGTCATCGTTCATAAAACAAAATGTGGCTTGTCGAGAATTAATTGGGATTACCTCAAACGTTGTGAGTGCTTTGTGGTCACACTTGTCCACGACGGGCGTTAAATTGCGCTTCTTGGTGGCAGTTCTATGGTCGACAGGATAATATGTAAATACCTCAAAATATATACAGGCATTTACAGGATGAAGCGCAGTTTCTCACCCCACGCTAGCCAAAGACTTCATGAAGTACCTCAAAACTATCTTCATGATTATTCATGTAAGTAAACGAGTAAATCATTCAGTAAAAGAACAAGTAAAATGAAAATTGAACTAACTTGTATGCATGTCTACTTTGAAGTTATATTCCTTAAAAAAATAATTTAATTTACTTTGCTATTATAAAGACTAGATTGTCTCTACAATACTATATTGTCTACTGACTATATTTTCATTACATAGTTTAGTATATAATGACTGTTGATATAACTGCAGTTATATCAACGGTTATAATCATAGTTGACTGTTGATGTTACTATGGTACGACTTCAGTACCTTTACAAATATTATTACACGGCATCTAAAAATAATTCTTTTGTCATTTGCTGAAATTTTATTATAGATATATCCATTTAAAATTATCTTTCTTTTGTCACATTTAGATCGTAAAATTTTACTCCATCGTTATTTTGATTTTGTATAAGGTTTAAAATATTTTTTAAAATCTGCCGAAACGATGACGTGTAATTACGTTTCACGTTTGGCAGCGAATATTTTTTAATTGTAAACGGTGCATTATGTACTTGCTAAAGGTAGGTTTCACTGCAATTTAATTTCATTTATTATTTATTCTTACCATTGATGATTTTAGTAATGGGTTCAAAACAAAAGAAAGTGTATATTTAATGATTGAAGGAAACACTATAAGCGATTCCGATGTGTGGTATAATGCATTCAAAATTTTCTTCTAAACTTTCAGTAAGCCATGGTGGACGTACAAATAATAAACTTCATATGAATAGTAATAAATATAAAGTGTCTACTGCGCATTTGGCTAGACATTAAAGACTTTCTTCAAACAGGAGAAAATGGGTGATGAGGAAGAAGAATTAGCTGCATTATCAGGTACTTCTCATACCATACTATGTGCCACAACCATAGCTTTATGTCTATGAATTGTACGTCCAAGCTATTTAAGTGGCATCTGAGCCTAAATTTATATGTGCGCGAACCAAGGCCGAAACAATAATACTAAATGTTTTTGTGCCTTACGCTTTAACAGCTTTGTACAGTGATTTGGAAAAAATTTTCATTTATTTTTAGTTTTAACTGATGCGTCCAGTCAGAAGGAAATAAAACTTTTCCCGATAATTTTTAAATTTATATATTAGATTATGGAATAAGAGTAAAGGTTTTAAACTTTAAATCCTTACCTGGTGAAATAGCCTATATTGTCCGCAACTATTTAATACCTGTCTTGAAGAAAATATTTTTTGAAAAAAAGTTATTGGTCTTTGTGTCTACAATATGAATTCTAACTTTGAAGGAGCTCGTGGAGAAAATAATTTTTTTGTTAAACTGAAAGCAAACCTTAACTATGGTTTAATTTTATTCAGATATGCAGCGCATAATATCCATAACACTATAAGAACATCAGCTGATGTTTCACCAGTTATTATAGAAATGATATTTTAAGATTTACCTTTAAATCTTATACTGTTATAATAGAAACATTGAAATATTTCTGTAATTTCGTAAAAAAAAAAGATTTTTTAATGATACTAGGGTATTCACAAACAAGGTGGTTAGCATTACTGACCGCTATTGAGAGGGTACTCCAAATTTTTTTACCACTGAAGGTTTATTTTCAATTTCAAGAAAAGTGCCCCAGGCTTACTTCAAAATTCTTTGGAAATCCAGTGGCAGAAGCTTGGCAGCATTTCATTTACACTCAGGCTTCAGTATTTCATAAAATTATCACAACACCTGAAAATCAAACTCTATTTGAATCTAATGTAATTGCTTCAACGGATGCTCTGAAAGCTTCATTACTGTGCAAGATAGAGGATAACTTTATTCCAGTAAATAATAAAAAAGCTCTGGATAAGCTTAAAGAGAATAGAGACATATCACAATACGAAGATTAAGAATTTCGAAAAGATATTTTTCATTTTATCAGACTGCTCTTACTTATTTGGGGAAATGACAAAAAAAAAGTATTTCAGGAAATACAAACAGCAAGATCCGTTCACGGAAATTTTAAACGCTATACCATATTAAATGAAATCCCTTCTTGAAGTTAAGTTCAAACAGTCTTTTTGTTAATTGATAAAATGATACCAAACCGATAAATTATTGGAAACTGCTATATATGAGGAATATGTTTACATTAAACAATATATCACGGAAAAAAATATTGGATTTGTCAAAAAGTAAAATGTGCCCATTTCAGAGGTGGATAGAAATAAATGCACATAGAAATAAATGCAATAAGAACCAGATTCCTTGTTCAAATATTTTAAAACTGCCAGAGTTTTACTTTTGTCTTCCTGGCATTAATGCCGCAATTGAGTAAGTATTTAGCATTATGAACAGTTTTGGGACTAGTGATAAGAACAGCTTAAAGTGGACACTTTGAAGGGTATGCTAATCACCACCAAAATAAATTCTGATAAAAATTGGGCGGACTTTTATAAGAATACAAAAAAGAAACAGATGATCTAAAAAATATTCATGCTTCAGAGAAATATAATGCTAATTCATCAAAATAATTTAGAAGGTTTACAAATTAATTATTTTCTTTAAAAATCAATACTGAGTTTTGATTTATTCGTATAAAAATTATTATACCCAACTATTAAAAAATAAAATAAAAATGACCTGAGAAGATCAATATTTTTTTGTTATTTTTATTTTCTACTCGTTTGAAATTGTAAAGCTTTCTATTTTTTATTTATTTATTTATTTATTTTTCATGTACTACCTTTGGGTACGACTTTCGAGGTAAAACCTGGGTAGGACCTGCATGTGATACGAATTGCAAACTTGCATTATAGCTAAGACCTAAGTTCCTATAAAAAGATAATAGCATCTCATTAATTCTTTTAAAGTTGATCGATTTATTCGTATGTCTGCACTTTATGCCTCCACCATTTTTGGGCTCATATTGCTCTATTTTCAATTAGAATAATTTTTTTACGTCGATTTGCTGTCTCTAACAGTAGGTATTTCATCTTGTTGCTTTGTATTCCTTACTTTTTCTACGCGATTTGAAATATCGTCGTTTAATTTTGGAGAACTCATAATATATTGTGCATTTAAACATTTGAGAAAGAATAATAAAACAAACCTAGATTTTTCAAAATGGGAAAATGGCTAGGATTGATTGAGCGAAAAATTGATGATTTACAGGTGAAGGATCCAGGACAATCTACTAGCACTAAGAGTATTGAAAATAAAATAAAAATTGTTTATAGAAAATATAATAAAAGTTATTTATCATTTGGGTTTACTTGGAATGAAAATTAAATAGACCCTTAACATAAATGTGTAGTTTGAGGTGAGCTATTATCGAATCAAAATACGAAACCATCGTTTTTTGAAAATATTTTGAATCTAAGCGCGCCTATTTAAAGGATAAATCTGAAGAATATTTCAAGAGAAAATTAACGGAGTTCAAAAATAGTAAACAAGTAATGAAAGTTTTTGTTAATTCAAGTCAAAAAGCTTTGGAAGCTAGTTACTTAGTAAGCCTAAGAATTGCCAGGACTAGGCAGGCTCACACTATAGGAAAAAACTTTGTATTACCAGCAGCTAAAGATATCGTTTTAACATTATTCAAGGAAAAAGCGGCTAATGAACTTAATAATATTCCGTTATCAAATGCTACAGTAAGTGGACGAATTCATGAAATGAAAAATTCTATAAAGTAGACATTTATTTAAAAATATAAAACACAGTGACTATTTCGCATTGCAATTGGATGAAAGTACTGATATAACGAACTTTTTTCAATTATTAGTTTGCATATGTTTCGAAGAAGGTAAATGAATTGCCGAAGAGTGTTTATTTCGTGAATCTCTTCATGATAGAGCAACTACAAATGAAATTTTCAAAGTAATTGACAGTTTTATGTCTGACAATAATATTCCTTGGAATAAGTACATTGCCATATGCAATGACGGAACTCGGGCTTTGGAAAACTTTCCGGCGTTATTTCTCAAATAAAGAAAGTCGCAGTTAAAACTAAATTTACTCAATGCTCCATTCATCGCGAAGCTTTAGTAGCAAAACAATCCCCGA